ACACTAGTTTTCACTAGATTCGGATGGCGCCAATGATCTGCATTGGATGGCACACATGACGTGAAATATATATTTAGAAACATTAAACCAGGGGTAACTAATTAAAAATCAGTGGGGTCTGAATAAAGAAAATCAACCAGTAAATATCCGGAGACAATTTTTATGATCTTTCACTTTAAACAGCATTTAACACTAAAATAAAATGATGTATTTATGCATTCATGTTACATTGAATAAAAAAATAAATAAATAAAATAAAAAAAAATAAAAAATAGAAATTGGCAAATATTGCATCCCGTGCTATCTGAGAGGAGTTGACACTTGTATGATTGTATTCCTGTATATCCATCAGTAGTTAAAGGACAAGAGTCAGCAAATGCAAATTCTGCCCTGTAAAACAATAACAGCGTAATTGTAGCAGTATGATCCAAAGCCTCATTTGGAGCTTTTAAACAGGTTTTGAAAAACTTTGATAATTTGCTGCTGTAATATTGTAGATTTTTTAGAATAAGTGCGAGCAGAGGTGAATAATCAAAAAATAACAGAAATACAATTATAGAGCATTCAGTATTGTAAGAAAGCCCACACTGTTTCTGAATAAATACATTATTGTATGAGTTAAGTTCTGTTCCGTTTATGTCTCTTTTCTTGTAAGTTTGAAATGTCCCATGCTCCTGAATGCCCCATAGCTATCTGACGCTCGCGAATGCATCACACTGGTCTGTGTAGATGCGTGTTTGATTTTCAGTTGAAGACAAAGCTTTGCAGTTTTAAAACCCCCGTCGGCTAATCACTGTTTATTGTTTTGTGTGAATAACAAGAGACTACAACAAATACATCAGTTTAACCTCTGACAAAATCTTTGGATTTAATGTTGTTCATAACATCGCAGGCCGCTAATCCGTGACCTGTGCTTTAAACCGAAGCCAAGAGTAACGAGTAACGTTTGTTTTAAAAATGTAATGAATAGAAAGTACAGATACTTGTGTGAAAATGTAATGAGTAGAAGTCAGAAGTAGGAGGAAAAATAAGTAATGGAGTAAAGTATAGATACTTAAAAAGTGTACTTAAGTACAGTAACGAAGTATTTGTACTTCGTTACTTGACACCTCTGCCTGCTACCATCTTAACCTAGAGAGACTCACACAGACAAAACATTTTTTGACATGAATGAAATAAGTTATTTGGCTCTCAGATCCCGGCAGACGACTTTGATGCCATGAAATGGCNAATCAATCAGTGGGCCTATATAGGGCCTATATATAGGATTGCATGTGGTCACTGGTGGCATGGTGTGTATCACACTGAACATGGATGAGAGGAACTGAGGAAAAGAGTTTTTTCAGGAGATCAGAAATACAATTATAGACAAGCATGTTAAAGAGAAGGCTTTAAGAGCATTTCCAAGCAGTTTGATGTTCCTGTGATTGCATTTTCAAAAACCTTTTTGCAATCAAAAATTGGAGATCAGATTTTCCATGTCAAGGGATGTTGGTTAGCCTACCTGGATGTGGTTTTAGGAGGACAATTCATGACAAAACAAAGAAACAGATAATGTAAAAAAAAAAAAAAGAGCCCAGAACAGCATCTGATTAGATTTAAGGTGAACCTTGTGCTCAAGAAACATCAGTGGCAGATTGCAACAACCGTTGTGGTATGTGCCAAAGTGGGCATGATGGGAGACAGCCAAGGAGAACACCATGTTGAAAAATAATGATTTAAAAAAAAAAAAAAAAAACAGGCTGGAATTTTCCAAGCTACATGTTGAAATACCACTAAACCTCTGTTATAATGTACCTGGACAGATGAGACAAAAAAATGAAATTTTCGCTAAGGCACATCAGCTCTATATTCACAAATAGAAAGATTTTTGGTATTCATTATATGTATAAGGTCAATTATTATTATTATTTTTTTATATATATATATAAATTTGTCACATTAACTCCTAATGAGATACATTAAATTATATATTTGACTGGAAATTAGCGTATTCAAAAGGGCTGTATGTATACAAAATGTAATGGAATGCATGATTTTTGAAGCCAATTTCATCCCCTTCTAATTATATTTTTGTTGGTTGGAGACATACATATTATACAGCATAGAAAGTATTTTTCACAAGATCTACCAAAACAAAATAAATTATCTACTGAACCAGTATAGCTTATCTTCCCAGTGCCTGTAAAAAGTCTGTGCCAGTCCAATATGCAGCATACAATGAATGTACGCCGTGTTGACAGTTACGCTGTCCATGGTGCTGAAATGCACTGGGCGCACCATTTCACTTCACCTTCCAACACTGAGTTCTGTCTCAGGGGATGCTTGGTGGATCCTCATTGTTGATGGAGGTGGGGGTCCATCAAAATGTATCTAAATTGAACTTTATTGGTGAAATTTATTGGAGGTTACAAAATTCTACGTCTTGTTGGGGTTGTGGACAAACTGCACATATAAGCATTTTGCATTGCATAACACCTAATCGAGGACGTAACATAAATATTTTCAATCAGTAATCCCTCTGTTTATTTTTCGTGTATCTAATAAACAGATCTGTTGTAAACATTTGTCCTTCCTTTTCCTGTTTGTGTTTCTCCCCTCTTCCCCACTCTTCTGCCAGTATACTGGGGATGCATCTGTTTGGCTGTAAGTTTTGCTCTGAGAAAGATGGAGTCACAATTCCGGACAGAAAAAATTTTGACTCCCTCCTTTGGGCCATAGTGACAGTGTTTCAGGTAAGACCTAACCCCCATTTTATTAGTATTTTGTTTCTAATGTCACTAGAGGATTTTCCCCTGATAGTTACCCACTGCTGTCTTATAATTTCTTGGAGTAGATCCCAATTTGTTCAGTTCTCTAGAGCCCATTCCTTTAATTCTTGAAAAAAATGTATTTGGGTTAATATACATTCTCATGGTTTGACACTCTCCTGCTACCATCTTAACCTTGAGAGACTCACACAGACAAAACATTTTTTGACATGAATGAAATAAGTTATTTGGCTCTCAGATCCCGGCAGACGACTTTGATGCCATGAAATGGCATGCACTCGGATGATTGGCTTAGGAAAGGAATTAGAGTAGTCTTGCCCCCAGGGTCTGGACACTGTTAGTGGAAAAAGCCAATTTTTTGAACAAGCTGTTCACATAATAGTTTGTAAATAAACATTAATAGTTATTCATAATTTGGTTTGAACGTTTGCATTCAACTTTCTAGGGTTTGTCAAAATTCATTCTGTAAGTGCTGTTCTTGCTAACATATTTGTGGATTTGAGGCTATTTGCTATTAATTGGATTTAATTCTGCACTTTGCTTAGACCATTAATAACACCTATTTATGCTTTAGTTTAAACCATACAACTATACTTTAGATTTGAATGCTGCAGATTAATAGTTCAATTTCATAAATTCAAGTGGCTGAATATAGTTTAAAGTGATAACACAGGCTAAATGTATAAATAATAAATGTATAAATATGTCATATTTGTAAGCTACTGAAAAGTGCCCTTCTCTATTTGACATAAGAGACTTAACAAGATTTCAGTATCAATGTATTACAACTAAATACATTATTTCGAGCCTTTTAAAATTTACTTTAAGGAAAAGATCAACCTCTGAATTTATGAGCTGCAACACAACCTGCATGTTAGTATAAAGTGTAATGGGATACAATATAATAAGCTTATTCTTCTTCTAAAACCTAACATCTTGTGTATATTACAGAGGCATCTTACACAGAACTTAAATGCTAGTATGGCTGCCAAAACTAGTGTATATAAAACTCATCTGCTCATTATTTTTATACAGTTTAACTAAGTCGCAGGTTGCCATGGAGCAAACTGTTTAGTTTTTCCATCTTTGCTCTATTCTGCTCCTCCCTGCTTCTCTCTGCTAACTGCAGCTAAGTGTTTTTGTGGAGCCGCACTCAGAAAGAGAGGGGCAGAGAACCACAATTAGCGAGCGGCAAAGTTTAATTTTGGATTAGAATTTTTATATCGGCCAGATTTCTTCGGATGTCAATTTATGAGCCAGGTGCTAAAATCGACCTGAATTGTTGGCTCACGATTTTTCAGTCGGGCTCTAATCCTCAAATGACTCTGTCCATTGCACTGAGCTAATGTCTGTAATAAAACATATACACAACAGGGGATCTCTAATACTGTAAGTGGTATTTTCTGTTACCTGCAGGAAAGTAAACCTCATACTTTATGGTAGCTTTTTATATATTTTCTTCCTGCTGTATTCCTTTTTTTCAATTTTCATTACATTTACACATCATCATAGTTGATGATAATTATATTTTTTCTTTACAGTTACTTCAGTTTAGTCTATAACATAAATTCTAAATAAAAAACTAATGGTTATGCTTTTGCAAAACACTGCAAAACTGTAGTAACAAGACCTTCAGTTTTTGCACATAAATGTTCTTCCTTATTCATCTAAAATCCTCTTATTTCCCTTTCTATCCAGATCCTGACCCAGGAGGACTGGAACAAGGTGCTATATAATGGCATGGCTGCCACCTCTCCTGTAGCAGCACTTTACTTCATCGCACTCATGACTTTTGGAAACTATGTTCTCTTCAACTTGCTTGTGGCCATCCTAGTTGAAGGATTTCAGACTGAGGTAAAACATATATATTCTTTAGAAAGAGCATGTGGTTATAGGTCACTGTGCCTACAAAGGGTGCAAAATAAACTTTTTGCTTGGTTAACAGTGTTTTGGGGCCTCATGTACAAAAGAATGTGCAGCTTTCATACTGAAAGATTGTGGCTGGGAGAGACCAATATGCGGCACACACAAAAAAAAAATGAAGTAGGAAACCCTGTATACATGTATCCCAACTCACTTTACCCTCATACATCCCAATTTGCATGGAACTGACAAAAAGGCTTATGTGTATTTTCTCTAGCCCTATCCCAAAATAAATCAGTAGAAAACCAGGAAGGCCCCCATCACATGTCCTGATAAAAAAAAGGTGTTGTCAGGCAGTTACATAGACTTTGTCAAAATCCCTCAAGGACATTTGTTGTAGGCGGCCAAGTATTAGAGAGACATTAACAAATCTTTAAATAAAGTAGCTAAAAATAAAAAGCTCATAACTTTAAAAATAAAAAAAAAACAAAAAAATGGATCAAGTCCAAATGTTCCATGGAAATTCTATTCATACATTTTTTTACATCACAGATGCTGCTCTCACAGCAGTAGAAATACAGTAATAAATACTTTTTGAAACTAGCTTCTCTCTTCAAATTCCAACTAAGTGTATTCAGGCACAGCTCATATTATATTTATATTATATAGCTGAGAAAAATACAAGTGAGGTCATCCCATTTGGCTGGGTTGAGATCAGCTCTTACAGCACTTCACAGAATGCATTAGAATTAGTGTAATATCAACATGGCTGACACAAGTTTTCTTCCAGTGCCTCTCTGGTCAATCTAAACCTGCTAATCGTAATTCATCATCCTTTCGTTGCAGGTCAGACAGATCTATGAACCCAAACTCCCTCCACATTCTTTCATTGGCGATGTCCTCCAGCAGTGCAAAGGCTGTCATCCTTCCATAGTCCGGCATGCCTTTGCACAGCTATTTATGGACATGCGCTGAGCTAAAATAAAGTGCCCCAATCTTGGCACATACTGATACACATTTACCATTAGCAAAATTAAGGAATACATTGCTGTCTAAGAATAAATATGATTTATACATGGACAAAATTCCTGGCATCCCTGGTTTAATGTAAGAAAATCCTACAGTGGTCAAAGACACAACTTGTATCGTACAAAAGTAAGAGCATTAGACACCAGTAAGAGCAGTACTTTTCATGAACTGTTTTCGGACCAAATGATTTATATTTTTAGTATTATTATTAGTATTTTTTTATTTATTTGTTTTGTAACAGTAGAACATCAGCATTAACATCTCTTGTGATTTATTTCACTGCTTGGCTTTTACTGTCCCTTTAACTCTGCTGCTCAGCTCTCAGTCAGCAGAGCCGTGATCTTAGAACTGGTGAAGACTGTCTTCTTCATCTTCAATGCCATTTCTGTGAACGAACAAGCGTTAGAAGCCACAGCCTTCCCATTCAAATGTAGCCTTATGTGGCATTATGAGGCGGTAATTATGCAGATTTACTTTTCCTGGGAATGTGCACAGGTGAGCTATAAAATAACATACCGTAAACTGGAAATAAACTAATGAAACAGTCTGGACAAAAATGATGTTAGCCATAATATTTTGTTGCAAAACCTTTTAACTAATCACTGCAATCAAGTGATTCCTTTAACTGCTAATGAGACTCTCAGTAGGTAGTTTGACCCACTCCTCATGAAAAAACTGCCACACATGTTTGAAGGTTGCCTCTTTCAGTCAGCATGTTTCCTTCTTCCAAAGATGCCCTATAGGATTTAGGTCAGGGCTAATTTATTAATAATAAAAATCTAAAATTTAACTTATTAAAGCAGTGATGAGGAAAATACAGGTTTTTGGTCCTTGGGTTTAAAAGTACTGAATTGGGATACATTTCAGTGCAACTGAGTGAGTTTGGTTTCTCGTTTGAAAACGTTTGTATTCCTGCCGCACTTATCAATTCAATTCACTTCAGTTTAGTTATATAGTGCCAATTCACAACACGTTATCTCAAGGCAATTTATGGAAACAATTCAACCAGATCATACAATCAAACTGCTTCAAGGTTTTCTATCCAACAAAAACTAGGTAATTGCATCGACTCATTGACTCGAATGCAATCCCTCAAGGTTAGGTTATACAGTATTGTTCATTTAGTCTGCATAATGCACATAAAACTATAAACAGGATCATAAATTATGTAATGACAATAAAGGATTTAGGCTGAAGTAAACTGGTTCTTTTAATACCTAACCATATTACACATTTTCAACATGGTTCCCAGGAAAGCAAACTTACCTACATTTTTCTTACATTACAGCATTACAGTACACCACTGAAACAGCAGACATTTCTAAGGACAAGTGCATATCAAACGTGTTTGTGGTTGAATTATTGTACTCTTTGGCAGATTATCATGCTTAAAATATTACCCCGCAAGTTTTTTGTACTTATGTATACTGTGCACATGAGGCCCCAGGTCAGCCTTATATCGCTCAGCTCAGCTCTTGTTTTTTTTTTGTTTTTCTTTTTATTTAAGTAAATTTGCCTTTTATATCAGTGTTTTTTTTTTGCACCACTCTTTCAACAATAATGTAAAAATGCTTATTGGTGCAAAAAGAATATCTTGCACTCTTTGCAGTTGGATATATGATTACATTAAATCCTTTTTTTTCTCTCCTTCATCTTCATTTCTGTTATTCTGGCAGCGTTGCCACCTCCTACTCTTTCCCATCTTTCTAACACTAATCCTCACTATTGCTCAGCTTATTTGTCAATGCAGCAAAGGAAAATACTGAGAGACTAGAGTTTGCACGAGCCCATGTAGCCCACAACCACACCTTACATAATTTTTCTCCTGGTCCTATATTACCAAAAACCGAAATCGCTTTTTTAAAATTACCATCTATTTTAAATGTATGCCGAAAAAAAACCTAATGGCTAAAATGTGCAAATGGTTTCAAAGGAAAGAGCTCCGATCGCTAAATTCTGATGTGCCATTACTGTCCACATCAGTGTGTAGATAAGTGAAGGTGACTTTGCAGACAGAAAGTCACTAAACACTACGGAAGAGAGAAAATGTAGGTTTGACATAGTATTGGGAGTGATGGCCTAGTGGGCTAGAGCAGTGCACTTGTGCTCTGAGAAAGTTTCAAGTACTTGTTTCAACCCCCACACAAGAGTGAGTTTCCCCATTGCGGGACAATAAAAGGATTAACATATTTTTTTATTTACTTTAGAAAGATAGAAATAAAAAAAAAGCATGATAACGTCACAAAATAAAAGCCAAAAATAACCAAATTGTTTTCAGATGTTCTTAAAGTATCCCAAGAATCAGCAAAGCGATGTTAGAACACAGGACAGGAGGACCCAGTATTCAAAGCTAGACAGATAGTTGGATAATTCAAAGCATTTATTTCAAAAGAGTGGGCTGTGGACCAGTGGCTTCAGCGCCTAAAGTGTCACTGGAAACTCTTTTAGGGGATAAACACAGGTTAGTGACCATGATAATCTGACGGAGGACAGTTCAGTCCATCGCCAGAGAATGAGGTAGACACTGGGCTGCCAACGAGATGCAGCAGAGGTCAAGGAGTCCGAAGCCTGGTCAGGTATACAGATCTGAGCAGGAACAGGTTAGTTCAGAGTGCATAGAAAGTTCAGGCAGACTGTTCAGACAGGAACATGCAGGCTCGGTGGATGAGAGGCAGAAATGGTCAGGATCAGGAAATTAGAAACACTATGGTATGCTAGAAACGCCTCTCACCACTGGCCCCTGAGAACAAGAGAATCTGGGGCTGATGGCTGGATGCAAGTACAATTAAATAGAGGCAGAAGCAGGTGGTTGAGTTGAGCAGTAATGAGCAACTGGGCAGAGTAAGACAGGTGAATAGAATGAGCAATTAAGCCAGCCATCAGCACCAAGATCACGACAAGCTAAATTTCCAGGGAGAAGTATTCCACTCTAGGACGCACATTATTGCCATCTTCTGGTAAGCCAGGGATAAACCCTATTTCAATGTTTATGTTCAGATTTCTGTGCTTTCCATAACTTAGATTTTATTAACAGAGGGACAAAACACCTTTTATAGTCATGGCCAAAGTACTGTAGAGTTTGGCTGGATTTTTCTCAAAAGCTCATTTAGCCTATAGTAGAGGCTGTAAAATTATTAGAACATAGCAACAGGCCGACTGATACAGTGCAGGACATGAAAATGTGTTGAGCGAGATTTCTTTGTCTTAGATAAGATGTTGGTTAACTAGTTGGCAAGTATGTGATTTATGCTCAAACATCTAATCTCCATTCTTCCCTTTCCGCCACAAGGGAAGAAGTGTTGCATTAACATTACCTTACTTCTTTTTATCATCTTAGCATCCTCTTCTGCAAACAGTAACTTTATTTTTAGACAGCTAACTTTCCCTACGTCAGGGTTGCCAGGTAACCGGTTTCTTGAATGACG